TTGCAGTCGATAGAATCAAAATTAGCAGCTTCGAAAATATCAAAGGACATGAACGAGTCTTCTGCTCGAGAATCTTACAGGTAATTTTTTTTTTATATTTTCCTTGACCATAAAATTTACAAAAGGGGGTAGGGGGCAACAATGAAATATCGGTTTTATTATTATTATTATTATTATCATTATTATCATTATTAAACGATTGTTTTGTTGTTAAAGAGTTAAGGTAACGTCTTGTCATATCTTCATCATAGTCATCTTGTTATGGCTTCTTCTTCTACTTATGAATTTTCCCATATTCGGTTCGTATTTTCATCGTCAGTTTAAAAAAAATTTTCTTTTTTTTTTCTTCTGCTTCTTTAATATTTTTTCCAAGTAACAATTCGTGTGTTGAAAAACTAATTTTTTTTTTTTTTTTTGAATCTTTTAAAAGTAATATAATAATATTAAGTTAGTCTGCCATAACAACGTCTTTTGTTTTTGTTTTTTTTTTTTTTTTTCATTCGTTTTTAGGTTCGATGATGATTTCTTTTAATAGGATTGTTTATTATTTAATTATTTTAATAGGATTATTTATTATTTAATTATTAATTTCCTTTTTTTTTGTTTTTAGAACACGAAATCAAAGATTAAACCGTGGAACGTCATCACCAACGTTTCAAAACAATATCGTCAAATTATGAGAAACATAAAATTTTTTTTTTTTTTTTTAAACTATATTTTATTTTATTTTATTTTATTTTAATTCAAAGTGATAACGAAGACGAATACGAAAAGAAGAAAAAAAAATATATATATATACATATATATATATATTGTGATAGAAAATAATAATAATAATAATAATAATAAGCTTAATTTACAAAAAAAAAAAGAAGCTTAAATAACGGATTAGAAGAAAAAAAAAAAATAATTAAATTATTAAAAATGCGATTGCCTATCTACCTATCTATCTATCTACCGTATAATAATAATAATAATAATAATAATAAGCTCATATAATAAATTTTTTATCAGTTTTAAAAACTTTTAATCACTCAAAGTTACTGGAAAAAAGAGAGAGAGAGAGAGAGAGAGAGAGATAGATAGAAAAAAAGAAAATTTTTTTTTTTTTATAAAAATCAAAATATTAATTATAAATTATTAACACTGAGGCAGTTTAATATATATATTATAACGAATATATATATATATATATATATATATATTAAATAAAAAAAAAAGATAAATTTTAAATTAATTTATATATATATAAATATATATTTTATTATAAGTGATATTTTAATTTTAAAAAAAAAATTAAATAAGTATTTTATTGTATCGTATAAAAAATATATATATATATATATTTTTTTTGTAATTTAACGGTTCGGTCTATTTAAAAAAAAATTATTTGAAAAAAAAAAAAAAAATGCCTTATTATATCAATCATTTGAAAAAGAAAAAGAAAAGGCCCATTCTTAGCCAAAATAATAATAATAATAATAATAATACCAAAATTATTTTAGATAATGAAAAATGTATTATAATATGTTATTATTTACCTATACACACCTAATAATGTAAAAATTTATAAAATTAATAATTTATAATATAGGTCGATTATATTTTATGTTGTAAATAAATTATTATTATTATTATTAAATTTAAATTTAAAAGCAATAAAATTATTATTTATTAAAAAAAATTCAACAAAAATTTTTTAAAAGTTTCGAATTGAAAAGAGAAAGAGAAAAAT